ACTGCTCCCTGGGGCTTCATCTCTACCTGGATCCCAAGTAGAGGAGAAATCGAGGGATCAGAGCTGCTTCTTGTACCATTGCAAGAGCTCCTCTTGCAGGTGCCAAAATCCTGTGACTCTCAGTCTGTTCCAGACTGCCTACCCTGGCTGCTCAGAGGGGAATCCCTTTACTCACCACTACCCCATGACTTGGGGAACTGTCATCTGCATCCTCCTGCCTCCCACATCCTCAACCTCCCTTCTGCACCTCCTAAATCTGCCTTCTGCTCCCCCTGGGTCCTGCTCTCCCTCACTCTCCTCATCTACCTTTCATAGTGTCTCCGCAGCTCCTCACAGTCCATGTCCTCTCTATCCTCCTGAATCATAGCATGGAAGCCATGTGGGCATGGCTTCAATTTCATTGAAAATAGTAGAAAGTAGCAGCCAACTTTATTAAAGGCAGCCGGACTCCCACATGCACATAAACTGTCGGGAAATGGTGGGCATCTTGCTGGCTTTAGCCCCATTGACAGTAATAGGAGATGGTGGCCATCTTGAATAAGGGAAAATTCATGAGTTGGCATATTTTCATGAGACGGGTAAAAAACACCTGAAATCACTAGAGTCATAATGAAATCGCAAAAGTTGGCAATACTGAATCACAGTAACTTTTCAACCAAATAAATACTTGGGCCTAGATTGCGGGACACTCACCAGGCTGCTGTGTGTGGGTCCCACACGCCGGGCCCGCATGCTTTTAAACTTTCCTTGATCTTGGTAGGCTCCAGCTGCTGTGTCTTTAGCTCCATGGCACACTTCATGGGCACAGACTCTGTCTGTTTCCCCTCACAGATGTGGGACCTTGCACCCAGGACAAGTGCTGATCTCTCAGACTCTCCGGTAGTTTAAGCACAGTCTTTTGCAGAGTTCCATCCCTGTGAGCGCTCTGGTTTACATTTAATGATGGTTGAAGCACATAATAGACAGACTTTGCTAAAAGAATTCTAAAGCAATTACTCTATCCTTTAGAGAGCACAAGAGATGAACAGGTCCAGAAATAAATATGCTATGTGCCCTTCCCTGCTTTAGTTTCCTCACCGCTGTTGGGTGTTCTTTGGGATTTGGTCAGAGTCCTCGAGAGTGTCCAGGATCTCATCTCCTTCACTTGACTTCTCCTCTGAATCATTGGGTTGTGCGCATGGATGCAGTTGCTTGTTCTTTTCTCTCTCAGCTTCCTTTTATACAGTTCCAGTCCCCACTTGTCAGGTAATCAAAGTCATCCTCTAGGTGATCTGTTGCTCAGTTACCATCTACCTGGGTGGACCAGTTTTCTTGGTAAGGCCACCTTCTTTGTCTAAGTGTGCTTGCACTGGAATAGAAGACTATCAAGATTTAATGACTTTTTTGTGGTTAGCCCTTTGTCACCATCCCTTAGAAGTCCAGTCCAACCTGGAGGTACAAAGACAGAAGGCAGACAAAGCCCAAATTCATAATAGAGTTTGCAGTCTGACACAACTATATATACAGAAGTCCAGATTGTCAAATATATTTATGCTTCTAACTTCCATTTAAATCAATCTATGGAAGTTAGGAGCTATTGAAATCAGTGGAAGTTAGGAACCTAAATACCTTTGAAAATCTGGGCCGCAGTTCATAATCTCAGACAAAATTCTTGAATTGTACATATACTGATTACCCAAATTGTCACAGTCCTCTTTCACAGAAGAACCCACAGAAGGGGAAAACAGACTGGAAAATCCATAAGATTGTTGCATCATCTCCTCAGATTATTCCACCCCACACATCATACCCTTGGAGATATAAAAGCCACATAGACAAAGAAACCACTGAAACTCAACCTCAAACTCTAGCAAATCCCTGGTCAGATACACCCAGCACATGCCTCTTTCTGCTTCTCGCAGATAACTGCTCTCCCTAGCTGAAAAGCCAGATCACCTGCCAGTTTTGTACACCTCCCCCTTTGATAGGAGAGGTTAATGCTGTGGAGGGTGAGTTTATACTTTACTTGCAGCTTTTTTTTCACTTTAAACCCATTTCACAAAGAATCACATTACAGACACTGGCTGCTTCCAGGCTTTGTCCCCAGTTTCAACCAGCATGCCTCACCTCTTCCATTTCCAGCCAAGGAAGAAAAGCGCATTCCCGGTTCCCAAGAAAAAAGGAGGTTGAAGACCAGTCCTGGACCTCAGGCTCTGAACACCTATATCTTTACACAGCAATTCAGGATGGTAAAGAAATCTCCAGGATTTCACAGCCCAAGGCAATTGGACTCCCTAATTGTTGTCACTCCACATCATCATTCTCAAACTCAGGGCAGTTTGCTGTGCATTTGATCACTTCCTACCCAGCGTCAGGGGCCACTCAGCCAAAATAATGTTGGACAACAGAGTGGCCATGTACTATATAAATCATCAAGGAGGAGCAAGATACCAGTGCCTACATTCAGAGTTAATAAGGCTATGGAACTGTTGCATGTCCCAGCACATAGACATCTCAGCAGTTTATCTGATGGGACTGCAAAACAACATGGCAGACTCCCTGAGCAAACACTTTTGCCATGACTGTGAGTGGGAACTCAGCAATTTGGTCTTCCAGATGATTTGTTAGTTTTGGAGCATCCCAGAGATAGCTCTCTTTGTAGTGCCATCCAACACAAAGTGCCAATGCTTCTGCTCGAGGGGAGATTACAGTCGCAACCTGATGGGGGACAGCCTCCTCGTTCCTTGACATTGCACCTTGCAGTACGCTTACCCTCCAACACCATTGATCCTCATGGCTCTGAACAAGGTAAAACAAGAGGCAGCATTAGCTATCCTCATAGCACCATCAAGCTTGAGGCAAGCCTCTTCATCTTCCTCTGACAGCAGATCTCCTAGCACAAGAATCAAGCACCATAACCCACCCCAGCCTCTCATCACTGCACCTCAAGGTTTGGCTCCTCAGTGGTTCTCAGGCATAGAATTAGACTGTTCTCTCAAGGTTAAAACTGTACTCCTGAGCAGTAGCGATATCCACCAGGAGGAAAAGCTACCTGCAAAAGTGGAGGCGTTTCCAAGCCTGATGTGCCAATTGATCTATATATCCTTCACGAGTTTCTCCTCAGGAACATACTCAATTACCAGCTGAATTAAAAAAACAACAACACAGGGTTTGTTAATGAGCTCCATTAAGGTGCATTTAGCTGTCATTACTTTCATCCACAACCATTTTCATCCACAGGTCAAGGGGTTTCAGTTTTTGCACACCCTACCACTCTTTGGTTCCTTAAGAGTTTGTCTAACCTTTTTCCTCACCTCAAGCAGCCTATTCCACCTTGGGATCTTAGCCTAGTTCTCAGTGCCTTAAGAAAACCTCAATCTGAACCCCTGGGGAGCTGTTCACTCCTTCATTTATCCTTCAAGAAGTCATTCCTTATAACCATAATTTTGTCCAGGAGGGTGAAAGAGCTTGAGGCATTCATGGCTGACCCTCCTTACACAATTTTCTACTATGATGAAGTAACTCTATGTCCCCATCCTCATTTCTTGCATAAGGTCTCATCAGAATTCCACATCAGTCAGGACATTCAATTGACAGTATTTTACCCCAAGCTTCACTCTTCAAGAAAGGAGGCTCGTCTTCATACCCTGGATGCATGTAGGTCTCTTGCCTTCTACCTTGATAGCACTCAGTCTTTCACGGCTTTCCCAGACTGTCTCTTTCACAGAAAGAATGATGGAACAGCCCATTTCTACTCAAAATGGGTTTCAGGGTGCATTTTAGCTTGTTATGAAGCTTCTGGACTGCATCCCCCACTTAAAGTGACTGCTCATTCCACTAGGGCTCAATCCAACTCCAGAGCCCTACTTCAGAATATACCCATCATGGACATATGCACACCCACCACCTGGTCATCTGTTCACATGTTTTCCCAGCACTACACTATCGTACCTGCTTCCAGGGTGGATGTGACCTGTAGCAAAGCTGTTCTTCGATCTACTGAATCTGCCTCCTCTGTTTAGGAGTCTTATGAGGTGGAGCACCTATTGGGACAACAACTGGAAGAAGAAAGAGAGGTTACTTAACCAGTTCAGTAACAGGAGTTCTTTAAGATGTTTTGTCCCTATGGGTGCTCCTCATCTGCTCCTCTTCCCCTCTGCTGCAGAGTCTTATTTCTGGACTTCATGGTTGAGAAGAAACTTGAGCAGCAGTGGGTCTGCCCATCCCTATATACCCTCACACTGGAGCATGAGGATATGCAGGGGGCAGGCATGAACTTGTGGGCACTGCTGATAAAAAATCTTTGCACATCCTGAGGTGTAGCTCCCACAGAGACAAAACATCTCAAAGAACTCCAGTTACTGTACAGGTAAGTAACCTCTTTTTTAATATGTGTAGCTGACTGTCAGTGTGTGAAGTACTTGTGTCATATATATATATATACATACACACACACACAAAAACACACGTCTGTAAATAAATTCATAATTACACGTCCAGCTGTTTGTTTTCCTGTATTTTAAATCTTGATGTAATAGGCATTCAGAAATACGTATATTACAAAATCATGAAGGGATTCAGAAATCCACCATAATTTTTCTAAGTTTCTTTTTTCTAGAAGCATGTGCTTTGTTACATTGCATGTCATTGTGTTACTATTACCTTTAATAGTGCCATACTCCATGTGTCTCTGGAATGCATTTCTCTTTTCAGTATAGTTAGAATACATAGCACAGATTTCCAGTACCTTATCATCATCCTGTGCAGCATACACAGCGCACATCCCACTGTTACTAAATAATAGAGGTATATTATGTGAACAAATGAGCACTGGAGTGTTGCTTTATGAGAGTCTTGATGAGGTTTAAATGCAATTCTGCACAGAAAACCCAAGAATTAGACGCTTATGCAGATTGCACCTTCCTCTGATGCTTAATGATTTAAAACAAATTGCAGCAAAACTCCTCCTTTGTTGCTGAAACATTTATGGTTTGTAATTCCTTACTATTGTTTCTTTACAGGTGATTATCCTGCTCCTAGAGCTGTTCTAACTGGTCATGACCATGAAGTTGTCTGTGTATCGGTCTGTGCAGAGCTGGGACTTGTTATCAGTGGTGCTAAAGGTCAGAAGTCATTTTACAGTTTAAGTTTTAAAAATTTCAAAGTCTCCTTCAGTGAGTGTTTTTCAGTGTTCCCTTAAGCCAAGTGCAATTTAATTATTTTAAGTTTCCTCAACCAAGACATTTTAATTCTGATAGTCTCAGCAGTTGCTAACTCTGAACATAATATTTTCTATCGATACATATGACACTTAGACACAAACACACTTAGTATATCAGAAAACATTACTCTCCAGCCATCATCCCCTATTCCAGTGCACAGACTTAGAATACTAGTAGGTAGAAACTCATATAGTAGCACTGTACACAATGGTATAATGATAAAAACCATCAGATGGAAACGTACAATTGTGGGGAGAGCCAGCTAGGAATGCCCCTATCCCCAAGTTAGTTGACATATTTTAAATAAAAGTTAGGCATATTTGGGTTGTCCCCATTCTCCTGGGCAAGAGAAGTAGAGCCTGTTGGATTGTGCATGGGTCCACGCATAGATGCCAACATGTAGAATGTTCTTTTTTTCAGTGGGCAGTTCTCCAAAGAAGCAGGAGCCTGGGCATTCCTATTTGCCCTCTTACACTAGAAAGTTTTGAGCCATCTACTGAATTATCAGTTGTTTGCCTATTTCTCCAATTACTTGTCTGTAGAATCCGGAATATAAATTCTCAAAATAGCCATCCCATCCTTTTCCCCCATCCCCGAAGAGATGTCTGCCAAAGAACTACAGTAATCAAATTGAATAAACATTCTAATCTAAATGTTGAGTGTTTTCGCTTGACAATTCATTATTGCAGTGATTCCCAAACTTGGGACGCCGCTTGTGTAGGGAAAGCCCCTGGCGGGCCGGGCCAGTTTGTTTACCTGCCGCGTCCGCAGGTCCGGCCGATTGCGGCTCCCACTGGCCGCGGTTCGCTGCTCCAGGCCAATGGGAGCTGCTGGAAGCGGCGGCCAGTACGTCCCTCGGCCCGCGCCGCTTCCAG